CTACAATCCCGCTTTTGCAGGTTAGCCGTCGGAGCTCCGTGGTTCGTGAGGAACGTTGACCTACACGACGACCTGGGCCTCGAATCTATACAGAAATACATGAAGTCAGCGTCGGAACGGTACTTCGATAAGGCTATGCGTCATGATAATCGCCTTATCGTAGCCGCCGCTGACTACTCCCCGAATCCTGATCATGCAGGAGCCAGTCACCGTCGACGCCCTAGACACGTCCTTACGGATCCATCAGATCCAATAACCTTCGCACTAGACGCCTTCAGCTCTAGGAGCAGGCTTAGGGACCTCGGTAACCGTACTCGTCGAACTCGACAAAGAGTTCGCCGTGCAACCTAACCCATGAATCAGCTCGCTGAGTTTCTCGCCGGATCTTCTCAGCGGGTCGCGATTCCGATCCGGTAGTAGATTCATTCGCGAAGCAGCTGCTCTTGAGCTGTTAGGTCTCCTTCGGAGGCGCTCGGGTAGCTGTTAGCAAATCCCACCCCTCCTGGCTGAGCCTTTGCTCGCCCACCTGTCCTGGTGAAACTGGAAAGGCCTCCGGGCCACCAGTAATCCTTCAATCATAAAAAAAAAAAAAAAACCAATAATATTTTATTAGGAATACACGCATGACAATGAAATGACTGAAAAATTTGTGTTTTTAAGAAGATTAGTGCTTATTTCTCGTAATGATTAATTTAAAAACAAAAAATCGTTATTTTTTATATAAAAACAGGGATACGATACAGTGATGGACATAGATCGTGCAATGTAAGCTATCTCTCGGATCATTATTCCGAAACGTGATTCCTGGGACGGTCTGGGACAAAATAGAATTCGCGTAGTATTTATTCGGCCCTGTAGTAAAAAAGTCGTTATTGGTAAGTAATCAAAACTTGACGACCGCCACTGATACCTGGAAAATGAACGAAGAAAATGATAATTAACTGTATTTTGTTCTTTGGTAAATAAATTATTTCTATAAACTTATAACTTGTCAATTAAACAAAAGAAAAATAAAATAGGTTAAAAAACAGAGAATAAATATGGTACTTAACAAATATTTACGAATTATATAAAGTAAAAAAAATATATTAATTTATATCCTAGATTTCTCGCATAAGGAGTATGTAGTTAACTAACGAAACAGACATGGGAGAATTTCTAACACAATGCGGTGGTTAAATTTTTTGTATTAATTCTGATCTGAATCCTTAATTTATAAAATCAACCGCAAAGAAAGCTATTCTTGTCCAATTTAACCCAAGAAGTTTTTATCAGAATAAAATCATTTAAGATTTTTGACTGGCTATAGCATCGCCATCTGGTGTCTTGTTTATGTCCTAGAAAGGGTACCCTGAATTCAGTTTCTGTTATTTTTAAATATTCGTTTTTTGTAATACGTTTACTGACTGTAATAAGATATTACCCATGATCTTATATTTATTATTGTAAAGATTTTGGTAATACGTGACACCTAATAAAAATTAAACAAACACTCAGTAGGTACCCGTTTATTCTTGAAAAGTAGTGAAGACACATTACTTATAGCATTATAGTCTTTATGTATCAATTGTAACCAAATCTTGTATTAGAGTTTTAGTACTGCATATGTATACGACATAAATAACGTGACAGCCCTTACAATCAGGTCCGACTGATAAAATATCGGAAGAACTGCCTATGATGATCTCATCGTCTCGTTTTTACCATCGCACCGCTTATCACCAGAGCAGACTTCATTCATACTACCTAGAACCACTGCGTTAATGCACAGGACGTTTTCATTAATTCTCTTACTGACCCTCCAGCTTTTGGGTAAACTCTATTCCAGAGTGCTCCCCAAACGCTATGACATATCCTTCTTCAAATGAGGCTTACGAAGAGTACTGAGGGAGACAGCGACTTGGCTCTCACCCTGACATATCTGAAGTCCATGATTGACAGTAAGCACTCACCATTAGGTGCGGCGTAACGATATGAGTGCTCGTCTGCCTACAAGGGCAATAAAAGAAAAAAACCAGCGTTAGGTACACATCTTTATATTAAACAAAAAAAAAAAAAAAAAATTAAAAAAAAAAAAATAAAAATAAAAAAAAAAAAAAAAAAAAAATTAACACTTCTTTATCTGCAAAATATTTCTGAGCTGAACACATATTCAAGGTTTTTATTTTTATTACTAATTACCTAATTTAAAGTTTGATTCTTTAAAAGCAGTGAAGACTTTGGTAGCCCTAACAGTTAAATTTTGTTTTGTCACCCTTACTGTAGTCATTACCGCTTCCCCATATAGCCGAGTCGATGTATTTATTTTTGGTTCATTTCTGAATTGTGGGGGCTTATTCCTGTCTCCCTAAACCAAATAGAAATGGCCTAAAAGTTACTTTATGTAAACATGTAAGGGTACCTATCACAACATCAAATTAAAAAAAATAGCATTAAAAGTATACTGTTACATGAGGTTTTTTGTTAATTTGGCAACCCTGACTATATTGAAAGCATTAAAATTGATAATTTCCCATGTTTTCGGTAAAACGGTACACAACATTCAGACATCTTTTTTAGAATCGAAGGCACTTTTAGTGACTGAGGCACCTGCAACCTATATATTGTATATATATCTTATTCAAATTTACTCTTTCATTTTATTTAATATTGCATTAAAAAATAAATAAAAAAATACATTGTAATATAATCTCTCTCTCATATCGTGTTGTAGATTTAATTTCTTCGAAAAAAGGTGAAGATTCAAAGGAGATGGCTCATTTCTGCCCCAAGTCGTTACAATAATTAGCCCCGGAGACCTAAAAAAGTTAGGTAAACTGTACATTCGATACTAACGTGCCAAGCGGGGATTGCAAATTGGTGTGGTTAAAAAGTACTTTAATGACTGTACTTAAAGTCAGCCATGTTTTTTCTCTTTTTTTTTTTATTGAAGTTTACGTAAAGTGGACGTGCTTGTGTCATTTTGACTGGATTGCGAAATTGGAGTTTTGGCACCAACGTGAACAAAACATGTCGCCTAATAGTATAATTTTCTAAAACTTGTGTATTTTCGAGGGGTGATATGTAATATAAATGGTGGATTATTATAAATTGTTTGAAATTGACAAAATACTTTATTGTGGATATCACACTTTACTGTGGGTAAATTTAACTCAACGCTGGTAATACTAAAACGTCAACCATTTGACGTTCGACGTTTGTGCTAATGCCGCCGAGTGTCAAGTGTCAGTACTTTTGTTTTGTAGCCCGGTATCCCCGGCCCCCGCATAAATAACAAAACCGTTGTCAACTTCTACGCGATGTATACGCCCCGCTTGATAAAATACTAAGAAATCGTCTAAAGTTTTCAGCATGAGAAAGAACTTTAAAATATTGCATTAATATTTTTATTTGTGTTATTTTGTGCTAGAAATCTACAATATGTCAGTAAGTGCAAGTGCAGAAAACCTTTCGACGGATGCACAGGTGAGAGTAACGACTTTTTAAACACTTCGTTGTTTGTTTGGCAAAACTTTCGATAATTTTTTTATAAAGTTTAACATCTTGCAAACGGTTTCTGTGATTATAACTACGTCATGAAACAATAAACGTTCGATTTCCCGTTGCCAATTACGCTTGCTAGTGAGTCATTAGTGGGGTGCCTAATACGGAACCGTGACCTGTCGGCGATCCCTCCCGTCGCTCGCTTTCTTCCGTCGAATAGGAATGTATCGAGATGTATTTATTCAAGATGACTGTCTACAGCATGTCGCTGTCTCTTTAATGGGCTAATGCACTAAGGCCAAAAGTTTATCATTATTATTTGATTGACCCAAAAGTTTATACAAATTAAGTTTCTTAAATTGATAATTTTTTTGCGGCTCAATTTCGTTCCAATAGATTTCTAGACAGGATGTTGAATTTTGTGCAAATTCAAATAATGTTTTGATAATATAAATATCATTACTGCATGTTTTCCAAAACAGCATATAAGTTAGCACCGCTAGTAATGTGGTCTACATATTGGAAATAAAATTATTAACATACTAAATTATATGTGCAGCGATAGTGCTCCTTAAGAGTTTTAACTAACCACCTCAAGAGAATAGAACTAAACCACCAAACCAGAGATTCAAGCAATAACATTGGTATGAATATATTGTGATATCAAATATAGGCTTCATACAATGGTGAATTTTTAATGTACAAATATTAAATTTATCAGGGCCTCCGATGCTTAAATATCCTAATGCTGGAGAAGTTTGAGTCACTTCAAACATAGAGCAGCTTGACAACTGTGTCACCAGACAAAAAAATATTTTTTTTTATTAGACTTCATTGTTATAGTATACAATAAAAAAATTCATGTCTTGGTCAAATTTTTATGTGGCTGATGCTACATAAATGAAAATGGTTGACATAGGACTTGTGTTTTTGTTGAAATTACTGTACTACACTATAAATGAATTTGGTAGGCAGCGACTTGGCTCTGTCTCTGGCATTGCTGACGTCCATAAGTGATGGTAACCACTTACCATCAGGTGGGCCGTATGTCCGTGTGTCATCGTCTGTCAGTTCGAGATTTTTTTTTTTTTTGCGATTAGCAAATGCATTCAAAATAGACAAATATAAAAAAACATGTTTGGTACAAATTTTTCAAGTTAGATTGTATAATATTCATAGATCACCATATAAAAAAATCCTAGAGGATTGGGAGAGAAATGGATTTGTTTGTTCAATTATCAGACAAAAGTTAAAAAACAAATATTGATGAACCATTTGTAACTATTGAGTTCACTATGTTGAAAATATAAGACATCAAATTAGACAACGACAATATTCTGTCACCTATATATTATAAGACTTCATACAAGTTATTTTTTTTGATACAAATTTAGTCTGTCTTTTTAATTCACTATTTATACTTCATTTTGCTACAGTCAAACAAGTGATTCTTCTGTTTGAATGATAGTGATGATTTCAAGATCCATCATATAAAAATATATTGTAAGCATGACTAGCCTACTTACAAACTACTCGAATTTCATAAAATCATTTCAAGAAATAAATTAAAAAAACAAACCCATATTTACTGACTTTCTTAAATTTATGTAATTTATGAAAAATGCATTTTTCAAATGTCTCAGGCTGTGTTTAATGGACACAGGCTTTCTCAAGTGCTGCCCGCAGTTTCTGCATGTGCTCGCACCCCTAATGCAGGTCTCACATTTTTGTTTGATGACCGTTTGTTGTCTTGCTATCCTTCAGGTATCATCCATTTAGTGGCTATTTATTCTCTTGCCATCCTTCAGGTATCATCCTTTTGGTGACTATATCATTTCCTGTATCCAGTGTCTCTCATCTTATGTCCATATCACATCGATGAGTTTACTGTCAAGCAAGTTTATTTCCATCCCATGTTTACATCCTTTAAGTTTCTAATTGGTGGTTTTACTCAGTCTTAATTTTTCAATCATGCGTAACAAGATGACGGTCTTGATGTAAACTTTCATTATCTATTTTACCACCTGAATCTGAACATTTTATATGTCCTTGAATTTTCTTTCATTAATTAAGCCTTAGAAGGGCCTTCCAGGTAGTTAATACCTCAACTGTACATTGCCAATGACCCTAAGCTCCCAGAGTCACCCATTAGATTGATAGAGTAGATTTAGATCATATAAGCGTTTGGTAAAATAATGGTCATGGTAAAAAAAAACAAGATATGTGTGGGTGCAGTGTGGAGCACATAGAGTAATTTAAAAATTGAGCACATTCCTTTTTCAACGCATTGAAAGTGCCGGTCGATAAAACACTTCATGAACATCAAACCGTTCAAAATTCAATACAGTTGCCGTTGACTGACAATATTTGGGGTAATTCAGTTCAGTTCTGAATGGCCGACGCTACGATATTATAGTCGTTGGACAATGGTCACACAATAATCCTTCTTTATGTTGATCTCGATAAGGCTCAATTTCGGTCGAAACAAAATATTTCGTTTATATTTATACCGCCCGTAATTCAATTTGTCTACGCGCGGCCTGTCGAACACAAAATCGAAAACACTCTCGTATGTGCTGTACGTATGATAATCATTTTTTACTTTTTTTATAGCATAGAAAAAAAAAATGGATGGACAAGTTCTCAGCCGACCTAGTGTTAAGTGGTTACCGGTGCCCACAGACATCTACAACGTAAATGCCATCTACCTTGAGATAGAGTTCTGAGGTCTCAGTATAGTTACAACGGATGCCCCACCCTTCAAACCGAAACGCATTACTGTTTCACGGTAGAAATAGGCAGGGTGGTGGTACCTACCAGTGCGGACTCACAAGAAGCCCTACCACCAGTAATTATGCAAATTATAATTTTGCGGGTTTGGTTTTGACGATTGTTGACGATATTATTCCTTCACCGTGGAAGTTAATCGTGAACATTTGTTAGTACGTATTTCATTAGAAAGTTTATACCCGCCTGCGGGATCGAACACCGTTGCATCGCTTGACACGAATGTACCGGGCGTCTTATCCTTTAATTATAATTAAGGAAAACCATTCATTCAAAATAAACCCACAATAGTTTTTTTATGTATTAAGTCAAATATGATAGGTCCATGTACTTGACAGCTGACCACATACCCGATCCTGCGGATCGAATGGTAAACAGTCGACGTCGCCCTAAACGCGTCATTTCGGATCCTCCCGATCCACTAACAGTGCTTTTAGGTACCTCAAGCACCTGTCAGTGTTCTCGTCTAACCCATAGACAGCCCACTGAGTTTCTTGCCGGATCTTCTCTGTGGGTCGCTTTTCCGATCGGTGGTAGATTCTTTGAAGCACTCTGCCCTTGCTTGAGCCAGTGCTAGTAACGCCTCATGGTTTTAGCCCCGAGAGCTCATCTACACGTCAAGGTTATGCTGACAGCCTCTCAAGGCTATCAGCTTAAGCTGATTGCTCTTAACGCTTTGTACACCCAATGCTATATCACATATGCAAATATGCACTCTTTGTGACTGCTATATATAGTATTAACTTCTGAATAACAATGATGGACGCTGCGGGGCTTTCTTTTTTGCGAATAGCTCGTAATAGGTCGGGGAAAAAGTCTTTTCGCATTAAAGTATGTATGAACTTGTAATAAAATCTCTTTGGCTATATACTATTTGTATCTGGCTAGTTTTGGTATCATTCAAAGTTTAAATTTTAAATAAAATAATTCCAAATTCAAATTAGGAAAATGTGTGATTTTTATTTATTTTTTGTGCTGTCAAGATGAGTGAATCGAGCAAGTCACGAAAAAAATATTGCAATGTTTATAGACCTAGTGCAGTATCTGTGAGAGTAGCCCAAATTTGGTTTAAACGTTTTCAATCCGGAAATTTTGATGTCAAAAATGCACGTCGCTCTGGTCGTCCTATTACAGATAAGATGAATGCCATTTTTTAAAAGTGGAGTAAGATCGGCATGTCAGTAGTTACGACGTAGCTGAAGAACTGGGAATTGATCACAAAATATTTTTAGCGTATTTGAGAAAAAATGGGTACACAAATAAGCTCGATATTTGGATACCTTACGAGCTCACTGAAAGAAACCTAATGAACCGTGTACTCATTTGTGATTCTTTATTACGACGTAATGAAACCGAACCATTTTTGAAGAAGCTGATAACTGGTGATGAAAAGTGGATGACGTACGACAGGAACATGGGAAAAAGGTCGTAGTCCAAGGCCGGTCAGGCATCACAGACTGGCGAAACCCGGGCTAACTCGCAACTAGGTGATGCTGTGTGTGTGGTGCGATTCGAAGGGCATTATTCATTATGACCTGTTATCACCAGGTGGGACCATCGATTCTGAACTCTACTGCGAACAACTGATGAGATTAAAGCAAGAAGTTGAGAGAAAGCGGCCGGAATTAAACAACAGAAGGGGTGTAGTTTTTCATCATGATAACGCTAAACCTCACACATCTTTAGCCACTTAGCAAAAATTAATAGAGCTTGACTGGGAGTTGTTAATGCATCCACCGTATAGTCCTGACCTTGCACTTTCAAATTTCCATTTGTATCGGTCTCTTCAGAATTCTTTACGCAGTGTCAAGTTAAGATCACGAGAGGACTGCCAAAACCAATTGTCACGGTATTTTGAGCAGAAGCCCCAATATTTCTATAGCAATGGGATCTACCAGATGGCAAAAAGTTATCGAACAAAATGGTACCTACATACTTTAGTTAAATGTAAATAAACTACATTAAAAAAATGTTGTGAATTTTCTTAAAAAATGCGAAGAAACTTTTTCCCCAACCTATTATAACACGTGCTGTCCGGAAAAACTGTTTAAAATTATTCATATTTCATATCAATAAATTAAAACATTTTGCTCATATTTACCGTTTCGAATACTATGTGAATGTTATACTTAATAAGATAGTTAATAAAAATACAGATTTAATTTATTTATTGACAGTGATATAAAAACGATTAA